GAAAAGGAAAGTGAAAGGGAAATGGTCATTGCTAGAAGAGGATCATTGTAAAGTGATTGCATTGGTTGAATAATTGAATAGAGAGAGAGAGGCTATATACAAAAAAACCAGTATCTGTGTGTATGTATGTATGATATATACAACCTGAAGCTATAACTAAAAACATACAACCTGAAGCTATAACAAAAAAACCAGATCTGAACATATCATATGATGGTAATTCACTTTGTCTTTGAGTACTTTCAATCATGCACCTATTAAATAAGCCATGCTTAAGCTTTAATCCTGGGATTATTTCCTTGACACACTGAACTTGTTTTGCTTGAGTTAATACGAAGAGTAGATCTTTCAAAGTACCTTTATTATAATGCTTACTTTGCTTGGTTAAATTTTAGAAACTTTATAACTTGCTTTACATTAATTCTCTTACTTCAACTATTACATCTTTGTAGGTCAAAGCTAAGATTGCGGGTTGCGATTGCCATTACCTTTTTTTGTTGCCGCTATATTTTTTGTATGGCTCATGAAGAAGTTACAAGAAGATATGAAGAATTTTTGTTTTATTTTGGTTAAGTAAATATATAAAGTGTGGATCATGTACTTCTTTGAAATTTATATATGGTTAATTTATGTATAAAACAATGATTTGGAATTGGTTATATATATATATATATATATATATATATATATATATATATATATATATATGATGTTATTGGTTAGTTGTAAATTATTTTAGTTATGATTCTATTTTTTATTTATTTAGGGTTTGCTTTCGGGTTTTGTAAGACTAGTAGTAGGTTATAAAAAAATAAATAATAAAAAAAAGGACGCTTCATAAGGGTTACACTATTATTTTTTTTAAAAATTATATAACATTTTCTATCGAGGTGCAGAACCGTGGTAGAAAATATACTTTCTACCACGGTGCGGAACCGTGGTAGAAAGTCTCTACTTTATTACCACGGCTGTTTTCTTCACGGTTCAGAATCGTGGTAGAAAGCCTTTTCCACCATGGTAAAAAGTCATTTTTCTTGAAGTGTTTGACCAAGTCAATATCCCTTACGTGGCTTTTCCTGCGATTTAATTCAACTGCCAAAATCCGTGGGTTCTTTGAATCAATTGTAAAATAAATCTCTTATACTCATGCCCTACGTGTCTTCTTCCAATTGGAGAAATCGTTTTAAGCAAAAATTATTAACCGCTTCTAACTGAAATACTCTAATTTGGCCTGGATGCAAACTTCTTCCACGTCTCAACTTCAAAGTCCCTTTCATTATGGACTCCTTTTCAAATTTGATTTTTCACGTGTAACAGACCCTTTGGAATAATGTATTGTTCCTTAAATCCCTTGAGTTTAGTCTTTACCCAAACTCTTTCATTGATCCTTGATCCAAAATTCCTTCCACGTGTCCAGTTTTTCCGTTGGGCAAAAATAAAGGTGTAAACAGTGTATTATAATTCACATCATTTGTTATTTTTTGTCATGAAAGTAAACATGATAGACTTTTCCTTTTAAAAATAAAATAGCAATCCTTTTCAATCTCTTTCCTTTTATTAGCCTCTCCTCGTTTTTTGACTTTTGACTAAAACAAATAAAAAATAATAGACAGCGGGTTTGACACGGTGCACCAATGCGTTGAATTGTCATGTAACATGTCCAATAAGTCTCATTTGATTACTTTGTGAAAACAAATATTAACGTGTTTACATCTAATTTTCTTATTGAAATTTGGACTTTTTGCAAATGTATCACTCCATTGATAGATACATATATGTGTGTAAACTAATTTTTGAATACGTTTACAAGATTTAACATATATAGTTCAACATTTCATTCAGCAGACTACACATATATATAGCCCTCTAGCAGCAGACACTATACTCGTACACAATTAAGGTAAAGTTTTCTATTGATTCTAGAGCCAAAAAAAAAAAAAAAAAAACAAAAATGGTCTTCTTATTCTACTCTTTATTGTACTCTCTTCTTCCCTTGTTCTTCTTCTTAGTATTCCTTCTGAAATGGTTGTCCAACCAAAAACCGCAAAGAAATTTGCCACCCTCTCCATCAAAGCTCCCAATTATTGGAAATCTCCACCAACTTGGATTAAGCCCTCATCGATCCCTCCAATCATTAGCTCAAAAATATGGCCAGCTCATGCTGCTTCACTTCGGCAGCAAGCCTACTCTCATCGTCTCCTCTGCTGATGCAGCTCACGAGATCATGAAAACCCATGATCTCAACTTCTCGAACAGACCTAAATCAAGAATTCCCAGTAGACTTACGTATGACAAGGACATGGTATTCTCTCCGTACGGAGAGTATTTTAAGCAACTAAGAAGTATTTGTGCACTTCACCTTCTTAGTAACAAAAGGGTTGAGTCTTTCCGTAGAGTGAGAGAAGAAGAAACAACCCTTATGTTGGAGAAGATTAAACAGTCTTCTTCTTCGCCAGTAAATTTGACAGAAATTATAATCTTACTGACAAATGATATTCTTTGTCGCGTGGCCTTGGGAAAGAAATACAGTGACCGCGTGGAAGGTGATATAAAGTTAAAGGAGCTGTTTCGTGATTTTATGGAGGTCTCGATCTTGGGTGTTTTCAATGTGGGGGAGTATATCCCATGGCTTTCATGGTTGAATCATATCAATGGTTTGAATGGTAAAGTGGAGAAAGTTTTTCAAGTGCTCAATAAGTTTTTGGAGGGAGTGGTAGAAGAGCATATGGATCGTCGAAAAAGAGACATCGATGGTTGTAGGAGTAATGAACATAATGAAGGGCAAGAGGATCTTGTAGATGTGCTACTTGAAATTCAAAGGGACAGCAGTACTACTGCCTTTCCTCTTCACAGAGACAGCATTAAAGCTCTCATCTTGGTAAGTCTGACTTTCTCTCCCTCACTAAAATTTATGGACACTTGCCAAATTGATCTAGGCATGAATTAGTTATGATAACCACTGATTGTCTCTTTGATTTTTTTATTTTTATTTTTATAGAGTAATGACACAAAGTCCTAGAGTTGGACACATTCCATGAGTGGGAAATAACATGATGATATCATCATGTTTAATGATGTCATTCCCCACTCACATAAAATAGTATAATGCAGTCTACTTATCAATATTCTTTTGGATAATTTGTTAATAAACCCAACTTTGAACGCATAATGCTTCCTTAACATAATTTTCCATGCTGATTGAAAGCCACTTCCTCCATTGCACACATTATTTATCAAGAAATAATTATTATATAGTGACAATTAATATATACCTTTGCATATGATTTAAAGGTTTAAATCACTTCTACGATATTCTCCGAACGTAACATCTTCCAACAATAGTAATAGAAGGAATTGGGAATTTATCACTGCCGTGTGATTTTATTATGTATGACTAACATTAACAACTTGTAGATTACAATATTTTGTTTCTTGTAGGATATGTTTGTAGGTGGAACTGATACTTCATCCGCAGTTATTGAATGGGAAATGACAGAGCTTTTAAGACATCCAAAAGTCATGAAGAAACTACAGAATGAGGTTCGAGGAATAGCCAAAGGCAAAGATGACATAACCGAGGATGATTTAGAGAAAATGCATTACTTGAAGGCGGTGATCAGGGAGTCTATGCGGTTACATGCTCCAGTACCATTTCTAATGCCTCGAGAAGCCATTCAAGATGTCAATGTAATGGGCTACGACATTGCAGCCGGCACACAAGTATTAATCAATGTTTGGGCAATTGCGCGGGATCCATTATTGTGGGAAGATGCTGAAGTGTTCCGGCCAGATAGGTTCTTGAACACTTCTATAGATTACAAAGGGAAAGACTTTAAATTTCTTCCATTTGGAGCTGGTAGGAGAGGTTGTCCTGGAATCCATTTTGCCGAGCCTATTAATGAGCTTGCATTAGCTAAGCTTGTTCATAAGTTTGATTTTGCATTGCCTAATGGAGCGAGAGACGAGGATATGGACTTGACTGAAGGCACTGGTCAAACCCTAAGCAAAAAGTATCCTTTACTCGTTGTTGCAACTCCATATTCTTGTTAATGTATTTGCTGCATGACTGATGAATGGGGCCGGCTCGATGTAACTCAAGGCCTTAGGCAAAAAATAAAAAGTGGCTTTTTCATATCATAATATGTAATATATTAAGTATTAAATAATAATTAACTAAAAATCATCCTTCTTACTTTTTGGGATACAAAATTAATAATTAAATTCTTATATTCAATTGTGGTTAAAATATCTTTTTCAATAGATAATATAGCCAATCCATTTAATCTTTCTTGTGACATATTTAATCGTAGATATGATTTTATCAATTTTTTTTTAGGTTTTGATTATTAGTTGTAACAAATTTATCAATAGCTCCCACTACAAGAAAAAAGGGCTTCTACGAGCGGTCAAAAGCGCCATTAAAACTTATTCACAGCGCATTGTAAGCCCTCATGTATGAGGGTTTCGTAAATACTTCAATTTTTTTACGAGATACTTGGGAGGTTGTTAATGCATCTAAATATTCATGAGGCACCATGCGTACGTACCGTAGAAAAGTTTTTTACGGCGAATTTTAACTACCCGTAAATAATCTACGAGGCACCGAGGCATGCCGTAGAAAAGTTTATACGGTGAATTTTAACTACCCGTAAATAATCTACGAGGCACTGACGCATGCTGTAGAAAGTTTCTGCGGTGAATTTTAATTACCTGTAAATAATATAAACCATTCTCACGAGGTGCCATAGAAAAGTTATTTACGAGGATTTTCACTACCCGTAAATAATATACAGCCTTTTATTTACGGGTTTGAAGCTCCCTGTAAATAAAATATATGTATTTTTTTTAATAAATAAAGCACCCCTTAAATGCCAGTTAATTAATCATCCACAACATGTAATTAACATCACTTTCAGTTATAATTCAATTCAAAAATCATATCAACACATCCTATATGATACCAATTGTCATAATCAAAACAATCTCTTGAAATACCCCATTAAATATATCAAAAAAGTTAAAACATTTTTACAATTCATTATTTATCAATGTGCCAAAATAATTCAACATTTATCAATGTTCCAAAACAGAAAGTAAATCCATTTGTCAAGAAAATCATCAATTTCCTAACACTTTTGTTGAAAAATTGATAAACCTTCTAGCACTTGAGTTTCAATCTGCACTTGTCAAAAAACCACCTCAGTGTCCATGGTACAAAATCCAAGCAAGTAGCTGCATCACACAAGTCTCAAATTCAGAATACTAATAATAAAAGGGAAAGAACAAGATTATCATTTATAAACCAAACATAAACAAAATGTAGTCAAGAAACTACTACCAAAAAGTACCAACAAAACAACATATAGAAATAAACAAAACCAGAGCAAGAGAAACTATTGCAAAGATCAACTGACCTGAAGATTAGATGTCAAAAAGCCCTGCAACAATTAATAGACATGAAAAAAAAGAGTAGCAATATCAACAAAAATTTAATGGGAATGACATATATTTACATGAGTAGCAATATTAGCAGAAATTATTTCTGTTTGATTTTTAACCATCAATATTTGGGAGTAATGGTAACTGAAAGTCATTACAATGATATTTCAAGTTCCAATTCTGATTAATGAACATTTGTGATTCAAGAGTAATTGTAAATATTCAAAATGTACTATGTTAAAAAAATAACAATTTATTTTAAACTGAAACTTTTAGAGTAGATACGTTGATTAGGTTTTCGATATCAACCTGTATTATATTTTAATTGTGATCCAAGAGTAAGTAAAATAGCTAAGATGGACTTATTTGGACATCTTGGCCATCTCATTAAAGATGAGAGGATCAGACAAATGGATGGTACATGGATAAGCTCGACTTTAGTCCATCCCATGTGCACTGCTTAAATAATAGTACTAGTAAAAAGTTTGAGATATATATTTTGTTGAAGATATATTGAGACCAACTCATTTGTCCAAATATTTGGAGAAGAATTGGTTAGATAACACACTTTTTTCCTACTTTCATTATTTTCATTTTGAATAAATAATGAAAACAAATTGCTCCAGGTCCACATATCTCCAGTATTATTTTCATTGTCCAAAATAATTCTAATCAAGCAAAATAAATCTCAACTCAACAAAACAATGTCCTATGAGTTACATGAATATTATGAGATCTTCTTTCATAATAATATCAATTAAATTAAAACCACATAATTCAACAATACTCTGGTATTGAATTGGATACTTATTTATAACTCAGTTTCAAGTATTATTACTCACTAGTCTACTAGTTTGCCCAAAACCCATATCCATTCGAAGTCAACCATCAAGCCATCTCATACTCAACAGGGACACTTAATCATTATTAGCTGGAGTCTGATTCGGTTTGTCCAAAAAATTCAACCCCTATACTTGAACAGTAGTTACTACTATATACAGACTTATCTATACAAGTTTGTCTAAATATTTAAAAGATGTATGACAGGTGTTAGTTTGGTTTTTTCTTGTGTAGATAGGATTGGGCTAAACACCACAAAATATTTGGAACTTTGGCATTATAAACTGTTTGTGACAGTTTGGGCCCACTAATATCTTTTCATAAATTAGCTGTAGGTGCAATGTCTCACAAGCAGTGCTGAGTATTAGACTTTGCATTCATTCGCATGTGTTTCTTATGATATATATTTTTTTTTAAATGGTTTTTTTTCTTATCAATTATCAAAAATTATACTTCAACAGTACCCTGTTATCAATTCATCCCAGCTAACGAAAACACCATTTGTTTCTTGATGATAGAGAATAATATATTAGTATCGATGGGGTTACTATTTTTCGAGCACCTCCAGGTATTGAATACTCATCCCTTGAGGCCAGAAATAATAATAATAGTTAGGATGATATTTTTATTGAGACTGAGACTTTTACTTTTAGACCTGAACATACTTTGTTTGGACGGCTTAGGTCAACTACCAAATACAGAATCCTAAAATTTATTTTTTTATGTTTCACTATCAACCTGACTAGTTTGGAATCTAAAGAAGTATTACTAAACTTTATGTCTGCTTTAGCAACTTAAATTTTACAACACTAATAGAGTGAAAACAAGCCCAAAAGATTACTCAAATAGCCATTGATAACGATGATCCCAATTTTATCTTTAGTAACTTAAGTTTTCTGTTCAGCCCAATATCGAACCCAACTAGCATTACTAGACCTAAGCAATCCTTCGTGCATAAAAATTATAAATCAAAAAGTAGCAAAAATGGTCATTTGACCTTTGTTGTAGACTGGAATCATAGAAATTCTTATTCTTCTTCTCCTAATAAACTGGTGATAATCAATACTGTCAGAAAAAATAATTTCAAAAATGTAATGCCAACAAATACAGAAAAAATAAGATCGTTTGACTAAGAAAATAAGAGAACATATAATACGAGGCACAAAAATTTAATTTAAAATTGAGAACATATGCAAGATAAGAAAATAAGAAAAGCCATTAAAATTTAATACAAGGCAACAAAAATATAATTTAAAATTGATGTTTTAATTACTTACTTTTGCGGGACCACGCATGCTGAAATTTATCTATCTTTTTCCCTCTTCAATTCTTACTCATTTGCTCTTCTAATGAGAATGACCTATTGATATATACTATGCATCTTATTAGTACTTAACTTTTTTAGATGGTCTATATATGCATTTTGTATTGAAAAGGTAGAAAATACTAAGGAAATCAAATCACATATCAAAGAAGCTTAGGGGGAGCAAGGAGATACAATATTGCAACTAGGTTTGGCAATTATCAAACTTAACATACTAGAATTGCACCAATGCTTGGTCCAATAAATATACAAATAAATAGTTTAATTTATTAGGAAATCAAACTTATAGTTTAATTTGAACTAAGAAGACAAACCCAAGCCAATAGAGATTCAAAACCAAACTGAAAACATCAATAGAGATTCAAAACCAAACTGAAAAAATCATATACACATGTAAGTATATATTTATAAATATTTCTTATAAATGAGAGAAATTGTGGGTAAAACATACCAGGAGAGGAGACAGAGAGCTGAGTTTCCTCCTCCTTCAGAAAATGTCGTGAGATTCTCACTTATTGGTCCAGCAAACACCAACAAGACTTTCCCTTCCTAGAGACAGAGAGACCACCGTGTATTTTAGACTTTCAGTTCAATATATATACACACACATACAAATACATATGTGTGTGCAGGCGCGCGACTGTGTGTCAGTGTGTACAACTTATGTGTGAAAAAGAAATCAAGAGGAAGTAAATTAAACAGAGATAAGTTAAGGTTGCTTACTGATTAGACAAAGGGCGAGAGAGGTTAGAGAAATTCAAACACAATCTTCAGACTTAGGGTTTCATCTCTGAGCCGTGCGTTATCATTTAGGGCTTAGGGCTTGCCGCTTGCTTCGATCGATGGCAAATTAAAAGGGCTCACGGAGAGAAACGTTAGGTTTGATTGAAAGAGGGAAAAGAAATTTCGTCTCTGAGTGGATGTGTTATGTGTATTGCTTTGATGCAATATTGCTTCAAAAGAGAACTTTGATCCAGACTTGTGTGTTTTGTGTGGGTGTGTTTCGAAAGAAATTTTGCTGGTTGTTGGTCGCTGGTCGCCGGTCGCCGGCGCCGCTCCCCTCTTCTTCATCGCTACTCCCCTCTGATTTGTCTCTCCCCTCTTCGTCTGTGTTTGAGCCCTAGTAATAAGAGAAATGTGAACTGGGTTTTTTATTTATCTATATATTTTTTTAAAGTGTAATTTTAACTGTGTCCAATTTGGCGGGAGGGTGAAAAAATTTGGGGAAGTCTTTTTACTTATTTACGGGACAAAATTTATCCCTTAAATGTTGTTAAATATTCACGAGGACTTTAAAGCACTGTAAAGAAAAATTGTAAATGTAATTTTAATTGTACCCAATTTGGCGGGAGGGCAAAAAATTTGGGGAAATATCAAATTTTAGCACAAATATCTCGAGGACTTTAAAACGCCGCAAAAAAAAATATACTTATTCACGGGACAAAAAATATCCCTTAAATGTCAAATTATAACACTTTATTTACAAGGATTATTTGTCTCGTTAAAGTTGAACAAGAACTAATATATTTAAATATCCACGAGGACTTTAAAAGTCCGTAAAAACAATTTTCAACGAGGATTTTGCTAAATCCCCGTGAAAACATGTCCCTTTATAAAACAATTACGAGGATTCTCTCATTATTCCCATAAAAAATAGTTTTCACGAGGCAAAATAAAGAAACCCCGTAAATAAGATGTCGTAAAAACCCACTTTTCTTGTAGTGCGATCCCTTTTGAGATTGAATTAGTTTATCTATTCTTCTCTCTTTTTTTTAGGTTTTTCAAATCCGGATTCATACTTTCTAGCAGACATATTCAACCTTACAATATGGGTAAAAATAGTCACAACTCACAAACAAATATACAACTATATAAAAAATATAGATATTTACAAATTTATAACAACAAAAGTTAGTAAAACTAAAAAATAATTAAAGAAAAAGAACAATATAACTTGATTTAGAAAGCCCCAGTTCAATGTTGTTGCAAATTCTTCAATACAAGAAAAGTGCGTTCAAATTGAGACTAATGAATATTGAGTCTTGAGTCGAGAAGAAAGAATATTGTAAAGTTGTAATGAGAGAGAACTAAGGAGGGAGATGACTTGTAATTTTTGAGTTTGCTGAGAGAGGAGAGAATGAACGTGAGGAATAAGAAAGAAATAAATAAAATAAAAACTAGAAAAATAGAATATGGAAAGTTTCTACACTTCCCCATACAATGGTTAACATCTTTAATATTTGTTGCGGTGCAATTTACCAATATATATATATAGTGCTGGTGTAAAAAAAAGTGTACAAGATAGAGAAAGAAAGAAAAATATATTATTTAAGAAATAAAATATTTGGGCTCATACTAAGTGTGTGTTTTGGTTAGGGTTTACTAAACAACGGTGAATGAGGAGAAGAGAGAGAAATTGAGAGAAAAAAAGTAGTTATTTTAGGTGATAAACATAGTTAAAGTTTAATTTAAAATCGTCAATGCTGATGAGGAGAGAGAAAAAAAAGTTATTTTAGGAGATAAATTCTTTAGTATTTAATAATGTTAGGAAAGAATTACAATATAACTTATATAAGGGAACTATAATATTTTGGGGCTTTCTTATTGGCTGGGGTTGGAGACGCCCATACTGATGAAACAACCCATAATCTGGTTGCCAACCTAGCCATTCTCATGTGCGTTGGGCTATTCTTGATCTTAGCCATATTTAAGTCCACTGTAGTTTCCAATACGGCCGTACCCATAATCTGATAGCCAACCAAGAAAAAATCATATATGTGTATATATATTTGTGTAACGTAAGCGGAAGCAATAAATTTGTTTGCGAGGAACAAGAAACCATGAATAAACATGGTAGGTGTTTTGAATCCACAAAACAAAAAGATAATTCAGAGTAATCTAATATATTATTTAATAATTGAATGAAAAAATTAATTCTGCACTTTGCAGTAGACGTATTTATAATAATAGAAACCTAACTCTAAAAGAAAACTAAAATATAAAGAAACCTAATAGCAAAAGGAAAACAATCCCTTAAAGAAATTAAATAAAACTACACTTCCTATAAAAAATATAAAAATAAAATAAATAAGAAATCTAAATAATAAAAATTACTAGGTAGATAAAATTATCCTACATCAGTGCCCTCTACTTCGGAAAAAACTCGTCCTCGAGTTATGCTGCTACTCATCATATATTAATATGAATAAAATTCGATACCATTGATGACTTGACCTTGGTGCTTCAAAAACTTGCTTCGTAATTGACCAATTCTAATAAAACAACAACTGTGATAGATTTTCAATCTCCATTGGTAACTCAAAAGGAAAGAAATTATTTGAAATATATCCAATTTCATGAGGAATGACAACAAAGAAATTTTCTACTCTACTTCAATAGACTCCAGGTCCAGAAAAATCAAATTAGAACTGTGAGAAATTTTAAGAGTCATTCATGTTATTGGATAATTGTTCTGAAAATCAACCACCCAATTTGGGGTGCAAAGTTGAAACCCATTAGTAAGATGACCTCCAATATATTTCTCATAATAAGGTGGAAGAAACTTGGCTTTCAAAAGACTTTTCATCTTTAACCAAGATCGTTCTGGTGCTTTCCTTTGTTGTGCAAGAGAAACTCGCAACTGTTCCTACCAATTAAAAGCTATTCCTTCCAATTTGTATGCGACCAACGCCACCTTATTTTCCTCTTTAATTTTCATGTAATCAAAGAACCTCTCAAATTCTTCTAACCAGAAATATTCAACATTAAATAAACCATCAAAACTAGGAGGAAAACTCCTAGGATCATAATCCCCATGATTATAATATGTTCGTGTGTCTCTATAACCCCCAAAGACCTCTTCAGCATAATCTTTATCATTACTAAATTTTTCCTCGTAGGCTAGCTGCCTACGCGGTGGGATGAGGTTACGATTCTGAACAGGGCGAACGCGATCTTCGTCAACGTTATGCACCCTATTGCTCTCGCGATTTTGCTCCAACTCAAACCTAGCAATCATTGTTTGAATATCTTGCAACGTTCGCCAGGTTTTACATTGATAGCCTTGAAATTCGACTTTGAAAAGAGCCACTCTCTATCGATCTTCGTCGGCAACAAGGTTGCCACGAAAACGATCACCTGCCATCAGACCAGGAAAAGACAAGACTCTGATACAACTAACGTAAGCGGAAGCGATAAATTTGTTCGCGAGCAATAGGAAACCTTGAATCCGCAAGGTGGGTGTTTTGAATCCACAAAACAAAAAGATAATTCAGAGTAATCTGATATATTATTTAATAATTGAATGAAAAAATTAATTCTTCACTTTGCAGTACACGTATTTATAATAATAGAAACCTAATTCTAAAAGAAAACTAAAATATAAAGAAACCTAATAGCAAAAGGAGAACAATTCCTCAAAGAAATTAAATAAAACTACACTTCCTATAAAATATATAAAAATAAAATAAATAAGAAATCTAAATAATAAAAATTAATAAGTAGATAAAATTGTCCTACATCATTGTGTGTCCATTTAATAAAATATCATTTCCAAGACAACTTAGCGTTTGTTGGGATATGGATTGCGAATTCTTAGAGCAACAATAAATATACGTGAGCAACCAACACAAAAAACGCCATTGTCAACTTTAATTTTATGTTAATCATTTTGTTGCCCATACAACTCTCTTATAAATTAAACTTCTCTTTTCCATACGCTATCAAACAAAACTGTTTACTCCATTATTTTCTATCCAATGGAAAGTCGACAAGTGGTGAGTTTCAATAAGCTTGCTACATTAGATTAGTACTCTAATTTATCCTAAAGAGAAAGGTGTGACATGGAATTATTGATATGGTCTACCAATAGAGAAGAGGTATATGGCGAGTTCTAATGGAACTTGCCACACTGGATCGCAACTCTGAAATTGCATGGAAATAATACCATACATGCAACCTCATACAATTGTTCAAAACAAATTTAACCAATTGGCTTTCAACACATGGCGAGTTCTATGGAATTTACCATAGTATATTAATTCTTTTAAAGAATTATTGTTATAGAAGGTTTATGGGTTAAAATCGTATGTCCCTAAGTAATTGGAGGTTTCCCATTATGCTAAGACCAAAGTTGACTAAGCAAGGAAGAAGGGAACGTGGTGCCAAAAATCTCTCCTACTTTGTAGGGATTTTTAGCAGATATTCAGCCACTAACCTTGCTAAGTCAAAATACAAGCTTGTAAGAGAAAAGGAATGTGGGATGATTTGTATTTATGGATTCACATATATGTGTGTGTGTGTGTATGTACTAAAAATACAACCACGATGAGGAGTTGCTAAAACAAAGGAGTACACGATGCCATAGATTCCAAAAATTAGAAAGGAAAGTTTGGTTGAAGGAAGTTACCAAAGTCAAGGAAACGTGGGTCGCAAAGGAAAAGGAACGTGGGCAATGATTTATATTTATGGATATATATATATATATATATATATATATATATATATATATATTCATACATATTCATACATATATATATGTTATATCAGATACACACCCACGATGAGAAGAAGCCGCTGTAAGTTTAGAGAACACGACACCATGAAAGGAAGGAAAGTCTAACTAGAAGAGGTTACCTAAAGCCAATGGAACTTGGGTATATGAATAATTTCTATATACATGCATGATATATATAGAAATTATACAGAAGGAAGGACACTGCAGAAGGAATGACCACAAAGAACGTGGGATACTTGACTCATCATGAATGTATCAGTTGAAAGTGGTATTTCTTGCAACTACTACCATTAATTGAAAACGGTTGTCGTAAATTATGGATGACAGGGCTAAGATGATTAAATCGTGTCTAAATTGGAGAAGGAATTTTCGGTAAAAAGAAGAAGAACATGAAGACGTGGTAAATGTGTAAATTTATGAAGAAGACAAGTGGAAAGTTCACTCCAAAGAAACAACCCACGATACAAGTTCATGGAAGACTATGGAGAACATGGCTGGAGTTATGCATCAGAGGAAATAAAGAGAAAGAAGAAGATGAAAGAAAGTGGTTACAACTGCCAAGAGATCATGGGACACTTGGCAGTCCGAAGTCAGT